TCCAAAGAGTGTCCCAAGAGGCGAGCTCGATAGCCTCAGGGGGGGGAACATTTAGCCCCCCCCGGTTTGATCGATGGCCTCCAAGATGGCCACAAGAGGCCCTCCAGAACTCCCAAGGGAACCTCCGAGAGGCTTACAAGATGGCCCCGAGAGGGCCCCAAGACCCCCCCAAAGAGCCCTAAGGGGACCCCAAGATCCTCCAAGAGTCCCATAAGGGCCCCAAGAGGCGAGTTTGAGGCCTATCGTCCTCGTCATCGTCCTTGCCCTCATCGTCTTCCTTTTCCTTGTCCTCCTCTTCCTCGTCGTCGTGATCGCCGTCGTCTTCCTCCTCCTCCTCCCCTCCTCCTCCTCCCCATCATCATCCTCCTACTTCCCTCGCCCCCACCCCAGGGATGGCCAGAAGAGGCCCTCGAAGGCCACCCCCTTGCTCCCAGAGAACGCTGTGTTCACCCTGGTTGCCCGCTTTATTGCACAGTGTGTGTCTCGTCGTCCGATTTGCCGTCAGCTCTCGTGGGCAGGGTTCCTCAATGGGCTGGCGGGGGTACGCGAAGCGTGAACCATTCAGCAGCAAGGAGGCAGGGCACTGCTAAGGCTACCCAGCAATGACGTAAGGGACTGCTGAGAGTGACTAGGCATCAGTGGGCCCAGTTGGCAGATAGGGCGTTCCTTTGAGTACCCCATCGTTTGGACAATCCCACCAGCGTTCTGGGCGTAGGTGGTCTAGAAGGGCTCATCTTGCAACCCCCTTCTTCTCCTGCGGGGAGGGGTTGAATTACCCCTCCCCCCACCCCCTCCCCTGGATCTGGACGGGGCGCCCAGCGAGCAGTCAGAGCATCTAAAATGGCCCAAGACGGCTCCAAGAGGGCCTCCGAGAGCCCCAGGTGACTTCCAATACGACCCACGATAGCCCAAAATGGCTCAACATGGCTCCCAAGATCCTCCACTCGTCACGAGGCACCGAGACCGCTCCAAGGCGGCTCCGAGTGACCACGGGGCCTCCCCAGGAGGCCGCCAAGAGGCCCAAATCCTTCAACCACCTTAGAAAATCAATGATTCTCGCCTTCACGCCTTTTCGCTTCCGATTCTCTCCCGAGGCCTCGGGGCAGCTCGACGAAGGCCCCATGGGAGGCCCAAGAGAGCCTCAAGGCGGCCCCAAGAGCGCCCAAAAACGCTCCAAGAGCGCCCCAAGAGGGGCCCAAGAGGTAATTTTGGGGGCTTCCGAAAGGGGGGGGGCTGATTAAGGCGCCCCCAAGATGCCCCCAAGAGGCCCCTAAGAGGCCCCAAGAGGCTCCCCCGAGGCACCCAAGAGGCTCCTGGAAGCCCCTGGGGCCGCTAAAAGGCCCCCAAGACGCTCCAAACGGCCTCCAAGAGGCTCCCAAGAGGCCCGAAGAGGCTCCCCCAAGGCACCCAAGACGCTCCTAGAAGCCCCTGGGGCCGCCAAGAGGCCCCCAAGACGCCCCAAAAGGGGACGAGGTGCCCGAACGAGACGACTCACACCAGGACGAGGGCCCCGAACGACTCACACCACGAAGAGCCCGAACGACTCACACCAGAGGAGGGGCCCGAACGACTCACACCAGGACGAGGCGCCCGAACGACTCACACCACGAGGAGCCCGAACGACTCACACCAGGACGAGGGCCCCGAACGACTCACACCACGAGGAGCCCGAACGACTCACACCAGGAGGAGGAGCCCGAACGACTCACACCAGGACGAAGGGCCCGAACAACTCACACCACGAGAAGCCCGAACGACTCACGCCAGGACGAAGAGCCCGAACGACTCAAACCACGACGAAGAGCCCGAACGACTCACACCAGGAAGAAGGGCCCGAACGACTCACACCAGGACGAGAGGCCCGGAGATATGCGGGGGCAGGCGGAAACCGCATGAAAAACACGACTGTCGGCATGCTTCGCAAGAGTTGCTGTTTTGAGATGGGCTGGTGAGGATACGCGAAGCGTGAAGAATTAACTACAAGACGCGCCTCTAGCCGGCCGGCCCACTCACAAAGCAGCCGCGGGGTTGTGGGGAAGCTGACGGCAGGGGGCATCCTGGGAAGCTCGGGCACGTGCAGTCCACAATGTCAAGGAATTCGATGCCTGCCGTGAGGCATGACCCACACAGCGACATGACGTGTACCAGGGCAAACGTGTCTGACATACTGGGTGGGGGCAGGCGCGAAGCCCGATAAGCGAGTCGCCAGTGGGGCGCCAGGCTCAATCCGCCCCAACGACGTGTGCTGGCTTGGGGAGCTGAGCTGCCGAGGAACGTGGAACGACGCGACCTGCCGGGAGCGGGGGGATGAGCCCGGGGTGCTGCTGCTGCTGCGAAGCGCTGAACCACTCCGTTGCGATCACGGCACCCACAAGTCCACCAGACAGTGCACGTGGTAAGCCCGGACGACCGCGAGCCGGCCCCGTGGACAACGGCACAGCGCCAGGCCAGGTGGGCTAGAGGAGAAGGCCAGGCAGGCGTGGTGAGCATCGCCAGCGAGGCAGGGGGATCCAGGGGGGCGCTGCGCCGGTGGCGAGGCAGCTGCCGCTTGAAGTACGCCAAAGGCCACCGAGGGACGGCCTTATCCTCCAAGTACACAAAGCTGGCTGCACCTCCAGGGGCGGCGTGTGGCGCGAGCCCAAACAAGTGGGATAACCATTGCAATTGGGGGAAGCTGCGCTGTAGCAGCCGCGAGGGCCGACGGCCACCATGGGCCGATCATGTCCGCCGCTTCCGCCCTTCCCCGCGGGACTCGGGGTCGCCGTCAACCACGCGCCACGTGGGCCTCCAGGGTCGCAGCTAAGCGACGCTGAAGGTGAAGAACCTTACAACGGAAAGCGGGGGTCAAGGGCGGCCCTGGGGATGGGGGGGCGAAGCCAACGGCGTCAGTCGGCACGTCTGGCGATCCCCGGGGGCCGAGGGCGGGGGGCGCCCGCCTGGCCCGAGAGGGGCCCGAGGGGAGAGGCGAGGAGAAGCACCTCAACGCCCCTCGAACGGGCCCCAGATATGTCTGTCAAGGGACACGGTCGCCATTCTCGAGGGTCCTCCAGGGTCGCAGCTAACCGCCGCTCAAGAGCAATTAGTAACGAGTGATAGGTCCTTCGCCCGGCGTTGGTGCCGTTCGATGGTGTGGTCCAGAGTGGACATCCTGCCACGCTGAATGCTGGTCTGCCAACGCGGAGACTGGCACCTCTGTGGGGGCGGTGGGCGTTGGTTCCTCCAGGGTCGCAGCTAACCGCCGCTGATGTTTGCGCGCCTGCAGCGTGACCAAACTGTGACCTTGCTAGGTCGAGCTCGCCGCCAGGCAGGCGGGGGGGGTGCTGTGGCCCACCTCCTGCCCATGGCACGCGAGCCGGCTGTCGTCGTCGGACAGCAATGTCTGGGAGCCAGGGAGGCCTGCTTGCGCGAGCCAGGCGGGCCCCGCCGCGCCAGCGAGGGTGAGATGTCGGGCGCCGGTGGGTGGGTGTGGGGGGGGGGGGGGGCCGTGTCAGGCCCGAAAACGAGGATGCTGGTCCACTTATCCAGCGTGGGCTGTCCAGCTAAGCTGCGCCGCGGGTGAGATGCGGGGGTGAGCCTGCGCCCCGGCGGAGGGTGGCCCCAGGCATTGCGGCCCGGGCCGGGCGCAGCGAGGTGAAACAAGCCTTTCGGGGCAACGGGTGGCTGGAGGTGGGGGGAACACGTGTCCATGGGCAGGTCCCTACTAGGGACGTTGAGGTAGGCCGCGTCGGGAGCACGTCAGCCTTGGGCGTCGGAGTCACTCTTAGCCCACCAGCGGGCCCGCTTGTCCGAGTCGCGGTCGCCCCCTCTTGGGGAGTATCGTTTGTCCCTGCCTTTCCAATCGGGGTCCGTCCATGGAATATCTCGCCGCTCCCACGAGGCCCACTCTTGCCAGCCCCGCCAGTGGCTGGGGGTGGCAGTACCGATGGCTCCAGCCCAGGGGTCCTGTGCAGCTGCAGGCGCGACAGCTCGGCTCTCGGCAGTCCAAGGGGCAGGCTTGTCGCGGCTGCCGTGCTCGCGCGGGGCGTGTGCGCGAGCGTTGTGCCGCGCGGAGTTCATGTGCTTGTCCCTAACTGCAGCCGCATCTACGCCGAGCCTGAGTTCTCGATCCATCCGATATGCATCATGGCCGGCGTTGGTCCATGCTTCCAGGAAGTCCGCACACGTCTGGGGTGCGTTGAGTTTGGGATTGCTCTTGTAGCCCCCCTTGGGGTCCTGACTCAGGGCAGCCCGCTTAACCCGCGCATGCCAGATGCCGTTGAAGGTGCCTCCCAAAGTTTTTTCTGCAGGCGTGTAATATTGTCCTGGATGGGTTCGCTCCTTTCCACGTCTGCAGCTGCAATAGAGCATTCGTAAATGGGGCCGCCACCCATGGGGTCGTTTAGGTTCTCGTAATATGGCTGAGCACCCCTGCTGTCCCTCCAGGGTGCCCCGCGGGCCTCCGTGCGCATGAGGTTACCCCTTGGTGACTTGGCGGCGCGCCCTCTCCCGTCATCAGTATCTCCCGAGGCGGGGCGGTCGCGTCCACGGCCCCACGCAGTGCGGCTGGGCGCGCGGTCGGCCCTGGCTCCCCCGCGATCCCAGGATGATGCGCTTCCCCTTCCGGAGCTGTCTTTGGCACTCCGGAGTTCCAGGGCAGCAGCCCGGTCAACGGTCTGCGAATAGGGGGTCCAGGCCTTGCCACTTGGGGGCGCATCCGTGAAAGCACCTAGAAGGTCGAAGAGGTATGTTCCTTCGTCTTCGTCCGCGGCCGGTTCTGGGCTCGCGATCGGGCTCGTTTCCATGGTTGCGGCTAATGCGCTTCCTGGTTCGCCCCCCCAGTCGGGCGCATCGTGTTCGCCCTCAGTCCTGCATGCCTGCTCGCACGAGCCCTGCACGTCCGTGGGCGGGTCGTTGGCCCCATCGTCGCCGGGAGTCTCATCATCCGCCCTGGGGGAGTGACCTGGAGGTGCCTCTTGCAGGAACGAGGGGACACTCCGACGGCCGCGAGGGTCGAGGCGCACATGAAGGCCATCGAGGCGGAGCGCGTCATCGAGACGGGGCACTACATCAAGAACGACCCGGACAAGGAGGGCTACTGGACAGCCCGCAAGACCAAGACCGAGGGCGTCAAGATCGAGATCAAGACCGATCCAGGGAGGCCATCGGCGGCAACCAGACCGTCGACCGGAGTGCCGACTGCGGCGCGCACCGTGCGGTCGGTCGGAGCGGACCCAAGCTCTGCGGCATCGGATTCAACACCCCGCAGCAGCACGTGGGATGTGGTCTCGAGTGCCGCGGCGGACCCGGACGAGACGCCCACGCTCGCGACCCAGCAGAGGGACCTCATCATCAAGTGGGCAGTCTTGGCCTGGGGAGTCAGGCGCCTGAAGGTGAAGCCAGAGGTGAAGCAGGAGGACTTCGTGGCGATGCCGGTGCCGGGGGACATGGGGGATGTCCACGTGAACTGAGGCAAGTTTCAATCAAGCAGCGCCGCGCGATCCAGAGCGGCATGACGGCACTGGGCATGCTCGTGAATGGGCTGATGCTGGGCCTTGCGCAAACAGGTTCGGCAATGCGAATGGACTTTGCCGAAGTCGCGTGCTCTCCAACTTCAAGGCTGACAGCCGGTCTGATTAATGAGGGTTTCAACTGCCAGCGCACCAACCTGGAGCAGGGCTACGACCTCCACAAGAAGGACGACACTCGTCGTGCCAAGGAGTGGTTCAATACGACGTGTCCTCGCAAGGCGTGGTTTTCGACACCATGTACCTACTTCTCGTTGATGCAGAATCTTACCCCCGAACACAAACGACGACCTGGCAACTGGGAGAATTTCCTGCGATCGCGACTTCGGGCTCGTGCTATGAATGGGCACTGCGTGGATATGGCCTTGGAAACTCTACGATACGATGGTGATATCTACTGGGAGTGGCCGTACAAGTGCAGTGGCTGGTCTACACCGGAGCTCAACCGGTTCAGGCGCGAGGCGGAGAAGATCATCGGACGACCTCTCCGCATGGTCAGGGTCGACGCGCGCCAGGTCGGCATGCGCGATGATCCCGGCGCGCTCAGGAGCAAGTCGTGGGGCATCCTCACCAGCGACGAGAATTTCACGCAGTGGATGGCATTACGCTGCGCGAAGGATCATCCTCAAAGCACGCTCGAGGGGCACGACGCTGTGGCGGCGTCGGCCTAGTATCCAGATCCGATGATTCGGAGATTGGGCAAGGGTTTCGCGAAGGACCTGCGTGGTCAGTCAGGATTTCGCGGAAGACTTCTGGGCCATGAGCGCGCTGCAGGATTACAAGGAGCAAGTGCACGGCATCGAGTCGGGCATACAGAAGCATTTCAAGAAGATGCCGGAGGACAGCGTCACGCTCGACAAGGTCAAGTCCTGGTTGAGGGACCTCCACATTCTTGGTTGACATATGTCCAAAACTAACATGAAGGCGATGCTCCAGAGACGCGGGTGTCCAAGTTGGCAGCAGGCGCTCGTGGACGAGCTGAACTGCGATGCCCTGCACCGAGACCCAGGACACGCAGCACCAGGCCGTGGTGTCACTCTCTATGCCACCAAAGCTGTGGCAGACGGTGAAGCTGGACTGCTTCGAGCTGGAGGTGCACCACAGGAAGCTGTTCGCGGTGCTCTACATGGACGCGGCCTGCAAGTTGGCAGTTCGCAGTGTTTTCAAGGAACTGGATACTAAGGGCAAGAAGGCGTACTTCGAGCCGTCTGGCGCCCAGGTGTTGTCGGCGTTCCTGGAGTAACGGTGGCAGCACAAGCCGCGGTGTCAGTTCCTGATCTCGGGCCCGGGCGGCGGCTTCGTGAGCAACCAGTTGCGCGAGTGGTGTGGCAAGAACGCCGCGGGCATCATCCAGAGCCCGGGCGAGTTCCATTCTCTCACGGCTGACCTGGAGGTTCTTATCAGGCAGATCAAGAAGACCGCTCGACGCATCTCCTTAGACGAGCCGACGCTATCGTTGGCCGACTGTGCGTCGCTGGCCTGCGCCGCTCACAACAACCAGCACACGGCGTCGGGCTACGCGCCAGTCCAGTGGGCGCACGGTGCCAACCACCAGGGCTACCAGTTCGCGGAGGAGGCTGGCCGCCTGGATGGAGACGGCTTGGCACACACACACACACACCGAACTTCATCGTCTGTTGGCAGAGCGGGTCTACCTGGAGGGGCAGGCTCGTTCAGTGGCGACTCGGCTTCGGCACTCCATAAGGCAGAAGCTTCTCTCGATCAAGATCGGCGACTGGATCATGTACTTCCGTCGTGGCAAGAACACTGGATCTCGAGATTCGTGGTTCGGACCGGCCAGAGTTCTGGCCATCGAGCCGAAGGTCAACCTCCAGCGCGAACGCGCCGACGAGTCCGCTTCGATCGAGGACGAGATTCCGGTGGCGTGGATCGCGCATGGCACGAGGCTTATTCGGTGTCATCCGACCTGAGGTCGAGCAGTCAGCGCGAGGCGGTCGCGGCATCGCTCAAGGGTAACATCGACAGGGGCTCGCCGACCAACGCCTCCTATGTCTTTCAAGGTGCTGGGCGTGGTGAGTTTACCGATTTGGCAGGCGACTCACCTTCGGAGCGGGAAATTGCCGAGAGCCTGGCAGACCTACCAGAGCAACCGGGACCAGGTGAAGATTTTCCCCAAAGAGATCGGCGTGAATCGCATGATGGTGCTCAGTCTGGAGACGACGGTGCAAACCTACGTCCCGGCCCTCGAGATGCCCCCCCAGATCTGTCTCGAGTACCTGTCCCAGAGGACGAGGATGGAACAGGCCGCGAGCTTCACAAAAGGGGCCAATTCACGAGTGGTCAGGACTGGAAGCCGACCAGGCGGGTCCGGTAGAAGCACAAGGCATCTCCCTACGACGCGTCTTCTGGGCCAGCAGCGACGTCGGCGGCACCAGAGGAAATCGCCAGTGGCCCGGCAGGTTCTCTGATTGGCGATGAAGCCGCGGTAGTTCCCCGAGAGGGTAGCCCGGCAGAGCCTTTTGGGGTGGGACCCGACTTGGCGGACGGACCGGTCGCAGAGGGTTTCGCGGGAAACCAGGATCCTGCCGGGGAGGCCCCCACTAGTGAAGCAGACGAACGTGACTTAGAGGAGCCAGAGGCCAAGCGCGTCAAGCTCGGTGAGATGGATTTCCCGACGCGCGACTTCGTGGGCGAGGTCAAAAGTACCTGGAGGCTTGGGGCAACCTCCACAACCAGTCCGTGGCCTACCTGAAGGACACGACCATCGAGCGTGAAGTTGTCGAGGTCGCGACCGATTTCGCTCACATTGGAGCCTTCCTTCAAGACTCTACGGTCTGGCTCTCCAAGAGGCTTGGCGACGGCAAGGCGACAGAGGTCGCCTATTCCAAGCTGGCGCCAGGGCAGCAAGTCGAGTTTGACGAAGCGATGTGCAAAGAGATCAGCCAGGTCATTGCGACCATGGTCTTGAAGCGGATCGCCAGGAGGAGCTCACCGAGATCGACGAGTCGCGATTGCTCAAGATGCGCTGGGTCCTCACCTACAAGTGCCAGGAGGGTGGCGCACGCAAGCCGAAGGCTCGGCTAGTCATTCTGGGCCACCAGCACCCGAGTCTGACGGAGCTCTCTACGGCGGCGCCCACGCTGGGGAAGCTGGCTCGCAATATGCTGTTCCAGGTGTGCGCGCAGCACAAGTTCAAGCTCAAGTTCGGCGACGTCAGTCAAGCTTTCCTCCAGACCGACGCGAGCGAGGAGTTCGAGAGTCTGAATGAAGGTTCCTACGGAAGTGGCTCATGCTTTTCCTGATGAGCTGGGGCGTCCTTCGCAGATTTTGAATATGGTCAAGTCTTTCTATGGATTGACGACAACTCCGAGAGCATGGTGGCTTGACATACCACGCAAACTTCGTGACCGAGGTTGGCGGCAACTACGCACCGACCAATGCGCGTGGATCTTGCTGGACTCCAACAATCAGCTGAAGGGCATCATCGGCGTCCGCGTGGATGACTTCATCATCGGCGGCGACGAGACGACGAAGTTGTACGGGGACGCGGAGAAGGCCATCAAGGACATCTACCGATGGGGCGCATGGACTTCCGGCCAGGCCGAGTTCAGTGGACTACGCGTTCGCCAGTTCAAGGATTTCTCGATCACGCTGGACCTCTACGACTACACGAACAAGTTCATCACGGAGGCCGAGATCGACGCTGACCGCAAGAAGCAGGCTCATCTACCACTCGAGCCGAAAGAGATCTCACTCCTTCGTGGAGTACTGGGTACAGCCAGCTGGAGGGCTCAGCAAGTGTCTCCACAGTATGTGGTGGACGTTGGGCTCGCCTCGTCCCAAGTCAACAACGCCAAGATCAGTGACTTGGTGAACGCCAACAAGCTTGTCAAGGACATGCGTAAATCAGCCTCGCAAGTGATCAAGTTCCACCAGTTCGAGAAATACGATTGGCACGAGTTACGGATGGTGCAGTGGGCGGATGCTAGTGACAAGCTCAGGCCCGACGGCAGCAAGACTGGCGGGCTGGTGACAGGCCTCTCGACTCCGGATTTTGCGAATGGCAGCATGGCAAATGTTTCGATACTTGGATGGAGATCTTTCAAGCTACCTCGTAAGATTTGGGGTTCCAACAACAACGAGACGCAGTCGACCGCGTTCGGCGACGAGAAGTTGTGGTTATCAAGATTGATGTGGGCAGAATTAGATGGAGTCGAACCGACTCGTTGGAAGTTGGACGACACTGTCAAGACCGTGCCAGGTATGCTCATCACAGATTCACGTGGCATTTACGATGCGATTTTAAAGTCGGAGTCTCCTCAATTGGGTATGCGCAGATTCAGATCAGGTGAGGAGGCCAGAGGCATTAAGGAGCAGATCTTGCGCACGGACGTTTCTTTTAGATGGGTGAACGGTTTGGCCATGTTAACAGATAGTTTGACGAAGCCGGAATATCCGGCTCGGCATGTGATGGAAGAGTTTTTGACCACACAGCGCTGGAAGTGTACTTTTGATGAGATGTTCCAAAGTGGACGTCGGAGGCAGCGCGATGGCAAGGGCGCTTTCGCAGACGCGCCTGAGGAGGCCGACATTGGAGGCAAGGAAGGTGTTTTAGATCCTTTGGAGTCGTTGTGTGACGATTATTTTCTTTCAGATTCGACTCGCAATCTAATGCGGTCTCGGTACATGTAGCTTCAGGACTGAGAAAGGTATAACCGGTGTTAGCTATCAACAGTCAGTCCTGTGCACTACCTGCCCGAAGCCTTTCCTTGTTGTGGCTTTGGCTCAAGGGCGGGATATTCATACTTTTACATTTGTTTCACGTGGCCCCAGGAGCCACTCCTTTCAGCACGGCTAGCGACGCTGTGACGACTGATACGTTATATATTCATCGAGTTGGGTGAGAGATATATCGTCGGAACTTCCTGGTATTCTACTGCTGCGCCGATTCCGCCAACACAGGAGGCCCCAAGAGGCCCCCAAGAGGCCCCAAGGGCCCCCCAAAGAGGCACCCCAAGAAGCCCCAAGAGGCCTTCAAGAGGCCCCAAGAGGCCCAAACACGGCCCCAAAGAGGCGTCAAAACTGCCTCCCAAAGGCCCCTGAGAGGCCAACCACCAGAGCCCAACCAACATCGGTGAGGCCTCTGACCCGCCACCCACCGCCTCCGAAACATGCTGGGCCCACGAACCCGGAAAGGGATATAGACATGTGAAGCATGGCAACGTTTCGAGACACCTGGATTGGGCGATGGGCAGTAACAATGATGAATATATCGATGGTGATGGCACCGTGTCAGAAGCTGCGCTGCGCTGTGCCGTGCTGCGACATGCTGGACGAAACGAAACGCGAAACTGCCCACGAAACGCCCTACGAAGCACCCCGCGGCACACCCCGAAGACTCTCAACGAAGCACGCCAGGAAGCACTTGACGGAACACCCAACGAACAGCCACGAAACACCCCACGAATCACCAAACGAACCACCCCACGAAACACCCCACGAAGCACTCCACGAAAGATCCCACGAACCACCCCACGAAATAGACGTGCCCACAATACGCGTTGTCCTGCGCCGCGTTGTGCCGTGCTGCCGAGCTCAAGTTCCGACTCAATTATGAAACGGGGCGAACCGAGAGGGGGTGAGCACCGAGCAAGGACGGACCGAAACGCGGCACACCGAGACACGCCGAACTGAGACAGGACGAACCGAAGCAATAACAACCGAGACGAGGTCCAAAATCACGCTACGCCCCCGCTCCAGCTGTCACGACCCCTCCTAAATTACGCTGCATCCGCATTCCTAGGGCCACGAACCTGAACAATTCACACTACGCCCGCGCTCCAAGGGCCCCGATCCCTCGTAGATTACACTGAGGTCGCGCTCCCAGGGCCCCGACCCCTCGTAAATTACGCTGCGCTCGCACTCCAAGGGCCACGATCCCAAGTAATTTACGCTGCGTCCGCGCTCACAAAGCCACGATCCTTTGCAAATTACGCAAGGTCCGCGCTCCCACTGCCGCGATCCCTCGTAAATTACACTGGGGTCGCGCTCACAAGGACACGATCCCTCGTAAATTACGCTGCGTCCGCGCTGCCAGGGCCACGATCCCTTGTGAACTACATTGGGGTCGCGTTCCCAGGGCCCTGACCCCTTGTAAATTACGCTGCGTCCGCGCTCCCAGGACCACGATCCCTTGTAAAGCAAGCTACGCTGCGCCCGCGCTCCAAGGGCTACGATCCCTCGTAAATTAGATTGCGTCAGAGCTCCCAAGGCCCCGACCCCTCGTAAATTACGCTGCGCCCGCGCTCCGAGGGCCACGATCCCTCGCAAGTTACGCGTGGTCTGCGCTCCCAACGCCACGATCTCTCATAGAATACTTCTTGTCTGCGCTCCCAGGGCCTCCTGGGGCATGCTGGGGCGCCCAGGCCCCTCAAGTTTTGCAAAACAAGCGTTTTGCTTGAGACATCCTCTATGTTTTGGCGCGGGGGGCGCACCATCCTCGAACGGGCACGCAAAAACTCAACGCGCCGCGTTGGACTTTACCTAGTTTGTTATAGGAAAACGGAGTTCCGCGGACCCTCTTATTTATCAAGGATCCGGAATGGGGGATCGACTTCTCTCAAGCGGGCACGCACGCAACGCACTTTCCGCGCCGAATTCGACTCCACCTCGGTTTCTATCCAGGAAAACGGGGGTCTGCGGACATCGTTATTCTCCCGCTCGCGCGCTAGCGAGCTGTCTCCGAGCGCGGCCGCGGCGTGCGCGCGCGGGGCGGCCCAAAATGGGCAGGCCCGTCCCGCGCGCTCAAGCCGGGGCGCCGCGCGTCAGGCGGTGGAGTCCGCCTGGTCGCCGAGGTCGGCGAGGCAGCGCCCGTCAGCCTTAGATTGGGAGAGGAGGGAGGGGGGCAGAGAAGCTGCGGAGACAGCGGGAGCTTGCTCACAGAGAATAGAAGAGGCATTCTCCCGCTCGCGCGCTAGCGAGCTGTCTCCGAGCGCGGCCGCGGCGTGCGCGCGCGGGGCGGCCCAAAATGGGCAGGCCCGCCCCGCGCGCTCAAGCCGGGGCGCCGCGCGTCAGGCGGTGGAGTCCGCCTGGTCGCCGAGGTCGGCGAGGCAGCCATACCCGTGCTCAAGGACCTTGCGAAGTGACGAGGTTTTGGCGGGCGGCCGCAAGTAGGGCAGGCCAAGCGGCGGGGCCGACTTGGAGGAACGAAGCGACAAGGCGGTCGCTGGCGGTGGCGAAGAACAAGATCCGCGCCCGAGCGGGCTCGGGCAGCGCAGCAAGAACTGTGGAAGCGGCGGCGGCTTGCAGGTAGCGCTCGGCACTGGAAGCTTGACGCCAACGCCCTCGCCAGAAGACGCGAGGGACGTCTTCCGTAGCGATATAGAAGTCTGTTGCGCCAGAGCCCCGCAGACATGCGGGCGTCAGGTTGAGCCCCTGACCTGCTTTGGCAAGAGGGACGCCCAGGGCCGAAAGCAAATGATTCCACCGAGTACGGAAGCCGCTCGCACCGAAAGGGGCGAGAGGATCGGTGGAAGCCAACCTCCCAAACACTTGATTCAGAATCTTCACCGTGCCCCGATCGGAGCAGCGAGCATGCTGCGTCGGGTACGTTCTCCTGGTCTTTGGAACAAGAATCGAGAGAAAAGCATCCCCTTCAACTTCGAGGCGGTCGCATGGAAGCGACAGGTCACAGCGGCGTGACGCCAGCAGTTCGCCAGGCCTGAGGAACATCGTGAAGCCCATGAGCAGCAAGGCCGCCATCACAGGCCAGTCCCAGGCGAAACAGAGACCGACCATAGCGCGCAGCAGAGCGCGAGGTAAGGGCGGGCGGAGCTTTGGCGGCTCCGCGAGCTTCCATTGTTTCGCTACGTCCCAAGCTTCTGTTAGAAAGGCCTTCCAATGCGGATGAGCGCTCTGGATTCCCAAGATGGCATGGACCAGAATATAATGAGGGAAACCTGCATCATGAAGCCACACGCCGAAGGTCGCGAGGAAACGGGCGAGAAGTATCCCGCTACGGTAAAGAGTGGCGGGCGGCACGCCAGTGTGTTCTGCTAACCACAGCTCGAACGCATCAATCGATCTCGAGCGACGATCGAGATACGCGGAGGTGAGGTGAGAATCGCGCACGAAGGGAGTGCGCGGAGGGCGAGCGGGCGCGGAAGGCGCAGCCCGACTAAGCCCTTGGCCTGCGGTCGGCGCCGCGGCTCCCAGAGAGATGCAGAGGCCGCAGACGCACCACAGGATGAGCGCAGGGCGGCCAGGGCTGGGAGAGCTGATCAGCGTGGCGGCCCTCCTGCTCCTGGACGCGTAGAAGGGCGGAACGAGGGTGTCCCGCCCGTCGGTCTCGAACCCCGACGCCTCCGCCAGCATCGCCCGCGCCGAGCTGAAGGATCCGCCCATGTTACGGTAAGCACGGCGAGCCCCTGCTTCGATCTCGGCGGGCAGAGCGTCCCCTCCCTCGAGGGTCGCCCAGTCAAAGGGCGGGCGCGGTTCGGCACGCGCAGCTGCGGCCGATTCGGCGAGCTCGGAACGAGCTGCCGAGGACGTGAGGCCCGAATGATGTGGAACGGGCACCACCTCCGCGAAGGCGTCGAGGATCTCGGACGGAGGGGAATGCGATCCCCACAGCGCTGCTGGGATGGCGCCGCGACCGTCCTGCACGTGGTACAGAAGGTCGAAAAGGCAGGCCAACTTGCCCGCTCGCCGCCTGTGCTCGATCTTTGAGCCGAGCCCGATGCCACGGATGGCGCCCGCCCCCATGGCTTGGAGGTCAGCGTCCGCGGGGATAGCCTCGGGCTCGACGACGGCCACGTAAGGATGCAACCACGAGGCTTCGTCGATCGGCTCGGCGCCGCCTGTCTGAAACAGGCGCTTATAGGCGTGCAAGGCCCGCAGGAGGCAGTGCAGGTCATCTCTGCCCTCGGGCTCGGCGGCCCCTGCGGGTGCGAAAGACCTCAGCCACGACGCCGCGCTCTGGAAGGCAGCTTGCCAGGCGGGTCCCCACCTCACCACTGTGACCTTCTCACCGCCGATGTTGAGACGCCACGCTAGGGCGGTGGCGGCCCCTGGAGGCAAGGGCTGCTCAACGGCCGCAGAGACCGTGCGCCGCGCTGCGAAGGCTGCAGCCGCGGCGCTCCCAGCGTCACCGCTGTGGGAGCCGCTGAGATGCAGCTCGTGCTCTGAAGCTCGGCCAGGCGCGGGGGCGCTCGAAGACCCCCTTTTCTCGGCGGCACGCCCTCCGCCCTGCGGGGCCGCAACGGCATCGCTGGAGGAGCGCGTGCCTACCGAAGACGGAGGGGCCTGAGCAGCGGAGTCCGCGCGGGAGCTGCCTGCGTGGGCGTCGCCCGAGCTCGCACCATGGCGGGACGTGGCTGGCCGCTGCGCAGCAGCGGGGCTCGGGCGCCGCTTCGGAGCGACTCGAGGGGAGCGCACCTCGCGACGCCCAGGCGACGTCGCCTGACGCGAAGGCGCGCGAGAGGAGTCGCGCGCGACGGCCCGACTAAGCCCCTGGCCTGCGGCCGACGCGCGGGATCGCGACGCCGCACGCCCACCAGAGTGGTGAGGGGGCGGCGGCGGCGGCGGGGGCACGGGCCGCGGCGTCTCGGAGCCTGCACGCGTGCCGCGGCCCCGAGAGCGGCTGCGAGCCGAGGCGTGAGCGGCGGGCGGCGAGGCCCCCGAGCGGCGAGGGA